GTCAGCAAGGTACTGTTTATGCTACATCCATGTGTCAGCAAGGTACTGTTTATGGTACATCCATGTGTCAGCAAGGTACTGTTTATGCTGCATCCATGTGTGAGCAAGGTACTGTTTATGCTGCATCTATGTGTCAGCAAGGTACTGTTTATGCTACATCCATGTGTCAGCAAGGTACTGTTTATGCTGCATCCATGTGTCAGCAAGGTACTGTTTATGCTACATCCATGTGTGAGCAAGGTACTGTTTATGCTACATCCATGTGTCAGCAAGGTACTGTTTATGCTGCATCCATGTGTCAGCAAGGTACTGTTTATGCTGCATCCATGTGTCAGCAAGGTACTGTTTATGCTACATCCATGTGTGAGCAAGGTACTGTTTATGCTGCATCCATGTGTCAGCAAGGTACTGTTTATGCTGCATCCATGTGTCAGCAAGGTACTGTTTATGCTGCATCCATGTGTCAGCAAAGGTACTGTTTATGCTGCATCCATGTGTCAGCAAAGGTACTGTTTATGCTGCATCCATGTGTCAGCAAGGTACTGTTTATGCTGCATCCATGTGTCAGCAAGGTACTGTTTATGCTGCATCTATGTGTCAGCAAGGTACTGTTTATGCTACATCCATGTGTCGTCAGCAAGGTACTGTTTATGCTGCATCCATGTGTCAGCAAAGGTACTGTTTATGCTACATCCATGTGTGAGCAAGGTACTGTTTATGCTGCATCCATGTGTCAGCAAGGTACTGTTTATGCTGCATCCATGTGTCAGCAAGGTACTGTTTATGGTACATCCATGTGTCAGCAAGGTACTGTTTATGCTACATCCATGTGTGAGCAAGGTACTGTTTATGCTGCATCCATGTGTCAGCAAGGTACTGTTTATGCTGCATCCATGTGTCAGCAAGGTACTGTTTATGCTGCATCCATGTGTGAGCAAGGTACTGTTTATGCTGCATCCATGTGTCAGCAAGGTACTGTTTATGCTACATCCATGTGTCAGCAAGGATTGTACTGTTTATGCTGCATCCATGTGTCAGCAAGGTACCGTTTATGGTACATCCATGTGTCAGCAAGGTACTGTTTATGCTGCATCCATGTGTGAGCAAGGTACTGTTTATGCTGCATCCATGTGTCAGCAAGGATTGTACTGTTTATGCTGCATCCATGTGTCAGCAAGGTACTGTTTATGCTGCATCCATGTGTCAGCAAGGTACTGTTTATGCTACATCCATGTGTCAGCAAGGTACTGTTTATGCTACATCCATGTGTCAGCAAGGTACTGTTTATGGTACATCCATGTGTCAGCAAGGTACTGTTTATGCTGCATCTATGTGTCAGCAAGGTACTGTTTATGCTACATCCATATGTGAGCAAGGTACTGTTTATGCTGCATCCATGTGTCAGCAAGGTACTGTTTATGCTACATCCATGTGGGAGCAAGGTACTGTTTATGCTGCATCCATGTGTCAGCAAGGTACTGTTTATGCTGCATCCATGTGTCAGCAAGGTACTGTTTATGGTACATCCATGTGTCAGCAAGGTACTGTTTATGCTACATCCATGTGTGAGCAAGGTACTGTTTATGCTACATCCATGTGTGAGCAAGGTACTGTTTATGCTGCATCCATGTGTCAGCAAGGTACTGTTTATGCTGCATCCATGTGTGAGCAAGGTACTGTTTATGCTGCATCCATGTGTCAGCAAGGTACTGTTTATGCTACATCCATGTGTCAGCAAGGATTGTACTGTTTATGCTGCATCCATGTGTCAGCAAGGTACTGTTTATGGTACATCCATGTGTCAGCAAGGTACTGTTTATGCTGCATCCATGTGTGAGCAAGGTACTGTTTATGCTGCATCCATGTGTCAGCAAGGATTGTACTGTTTATGCTGCATCCATGTGTCAGCAAGGTACTGTTTATGCTACATCCATGTGTCAGCAAGGTACTGTTTATGCTACATCCATGTGTGAGCAAGGATTGTACTGTTTATGCTACATCCATGTGTCAGCAAGGTACTGTTTATGCTGCATCCATGTGTCAGCAAGGTACTGTTTATGCTGCATCCATGTGTCAGCAAGGTACTGTTTATACTACATCCATGTGTCAGCAAGGTACTGTTTATGCTGCATCCATGTGTCAGCAAGGTACTGTTTATGGTACATCCATGTGTCAGCAAGGTACTGTTTATGGTACATCCATGTGTCAGCAAGGTACTGTTTATGCTGCATCCATGTGTCAGCAAGGTACTGTTTATGCTGCACCCATGTGTCAGCAAGGTACTGTTTATGCTACATCCATGTGTCAGCAAGGTACTGTTTATGCTGCATCCATGTGTCAGCAAGGTACTGTTTATGCTACATCCATGTGTCAGCAAGGTACTGTTTATGCTGCATCCATGTGTCAGCAAGGTACTGTTTATGCTACATCCATGTGTCAGCAAGGTACTGTTTATGCTGCATCCATGTGTCAGCAAGGTACTGTTTATGGTACATCCATGTGTCAGCAAGGTACTGTTTATGCTGCATCCATGTGTCAGCAAGGTACTGTTTATGCTGCATCCATGTGTCAGCAAGGTACTGTTTATGCTGCATCCATGTGTCAGCAAGGTACTGTTTATTGGTACATCCATGTGTCAGCAAGGTACTGTTTATGGTACATCCATGTGTCAGCAAGGTACTGTTTATGCTGCATCCATGTGTCAGCAAGGTACTGTTTATGCTACATCTATGTGTCAGCAAGGTACTGTTTTATGGTACATCCATGTGTCAGCAAAGGTACTGTTTATGGTACATCCATGTGTCAGCAAGGTACTGTTTATGCTGCATCCATGTGTCAGCAAGGTACTGTTTATGCTGCATCCATGTGTGAGCAAGGTACTGTTTATGGTACATCCATGTGTCAGCAAGGTACTGTTTATGGTACATCCATGTGTCAGCAAGGTATTGTTTATGCTGCATCCATGTGTCAGCATTGTACTGTTTATGCTACATCTATGTGTCAGCAAGGTACTGTTTATGCTGCATCCATGTGTCAGCAAGGTACTGTTTATGCTGCATCCATGTGTCAGCAAGGTACTGTTTATGGTACATCCATGTGTCAGCAAGGTATTGTTTATGGTACATCCATGTGTCAGCAAGGTACTGTTTTTGGTACATCCGTGTGTCAGCAAGGTACTGTTAATGCTGCATCCATGTGTCAGCATTGTACTGTTTATGGTACATCTATGTGTCAGCAAGGTACTGTTTATGCTGCATCCATGTGTCAGCAAAGTACTGTTTATGCTGCATCCATGTGTCAGCAAGGTACTGTTTATGCTGCATCCATGTGTCAGCAAGGTACTGTTTATGGTACATCCATGTGTCAGCAAGGTACTGTTTATGGTACATCCATGTGTCAGCAAGGTACTGTTTATGCTGCATCCATGTGTCAGCATTGTACTGTTTATGCTACATCTATGTGTCAGCAAGGTACTGTTTATGCTGCATCCATGTGTCAGCAAGGTACTGTTTATGCTACATCCATGTGTCAGCAAGGTACTGTTTATGCTACATCCATGTGTCAGCAAGGTACTGTTTATGCTGCTTATCATAGAATTAGTTCACTTGCCTTTGCATCAAATCAACCCAACAGCATCGGAGTATTTATCACAGATTAAGTCAAATGTGCAGGATTTCTGCATCAGAGCAATCCCAGATATCTACAGAATGTTGTGTGGAATGTTAAGAGCTCAGACAACAGAACTACCACACATAATGACATATATTTTTACTGTAATAAAGGATTATACTGCACAATTCTCTGAAAAGTATGCCAGTGGACAAGTTTGTTTTAATGCACTGAACATGCTGAAGCAGATTGAATGCCTTTGAAAAAAGTTATTTACCTGTTATTTGAGAACTTTTAGAAAATAAAAAATACCAGATTGTAATCGATTCTATTTCCATGTGTTCCTGCATGGAGGAGGAAGTCACGATCTGAGATACATCAGAATGTATTACCGAAGTGGTAATAGAGATGTACGACTTTAGCTGTAATTGATCAGTATTTATGGCGTCTTTCAGTCCAGTGTGATTGGTGGTTATGGAAATGATTACCTCTGATTGGTTCCATAATCCCTACCTGAAATGTTTGTGGCAAAACATATTTCTATGCTTTAGCTCACCTGGCTTACATTAAAATTTAAAATGATTTAGTTGATGTTGATTTTTTTTCTTTTTGGGACGTCTTATCTAAAAATACAATGAAACTGAAATGTTGCATGAACAACTCAAGTAATGTGATGATAAAAATGGTACTTTTTGTTTCCCTGCCTGGCCTTCAGCAAAAAGGCGGGATTGGCCACATCAATGTCAGTATGGTGGGAGTTGGGTATTCATGTTTAACTGTATCATGGTATTTCATCTTTGGCATAACAAAACTGGCATAAACCCAGACTAGTTCAAACAGCCACTCATACACATGCATGCATCCTGTGAACATCCGGGTTTGAATTGATCTTCAGCAACCCATGTTTGTCATAAGAGGCGACAAACTGCATCGGGTGGTCAGGCTCGCTGACTTGGTTGACACATGTCATCTTAGTCCAGTTGTGTAGATCAGTGCTCATGATGTTGATCACTGGATTGTGTGGTCCTGACCCGATTGTTTACAGACCAAATAGCAGGAATATTGATGAGTCTGGCATTAAACAACAAACAAACATATACATATAAATGCATTGTTTAGGACATCCCAGAAACCAATGATCTCATTTTGAATAGTTCCGGACTTGTTACCAGGTCAAGGATCTGCATCAATTCACACTTTCTTCCCATTCCAAGCGAATACCGATGATGTATCTGAAATGCTGTCTACAGCTGCCGGATCAACTCACTGACACATTCAGTGCCATACCAATATTAACTGTACCTTTCAAAGCAGTGTTAGTTGTACCTCATTCATCCTTTGATTTGTGCCTGAAACTGTATGTATGAAGTCTTTCCTTTGCTTCTTTCCAGGTTGAAGAGATCCGGGGGATGATAGACAAAATATCTTCAAATGTCGATGAAGTCAAGAAGAAACATAGTGCAATCCTGTCGGCACCACAGACCGATGACAGTAAGTACTACTACCTGTCAGGTGCCCCTTGGCAGTGACAGACCACTACTACTCCTTCTGATAGGTCAGTAAGTATTTTCAAGGTGAAAACTGCTTCTGGCCAACAGGCAGATGACAGTATGTACTTCCAAACCGACGGTCCTTTCTTCGAGTGACAGACTAGTGTTTCTGACAGATTCTGCTCATCACTGACTGGTGCAGTAAGTCCCTCCAACCTGACAGATTCTTCTTGTAGGAAACGTTCTGGTGTTAGTCTTTCTTATAGTAGTCTTTCTTATAGACCCTTCTTGACAGTGCCCTACTAAAAACAGCAGGTACACCCAACTTGATAAATCCTTCTTGTCAATGACAGACTGGTGCTGGCCGTTCTGATAAATCCTTCTTCACGTTGTCCTACTGAAAACAGCAGGTACACCCAACCTGAGAGATCCTTCTGGTCAATGACAGACTGGTGCTGGTCGTTCTGATAAATCCTTCTTGTCAGTGTCAGACTGGTGCTGGTCCTTCTGAGAAATCCTTCTTGACAGTGCCCTACTAAAAACAGCAGGTACACCCAACTTGATAAATCCTTCTTGTCAGTGTCAGACTGGTGCTGGTCCTTCTGAGAAATCCTTCTTCACAGTGCCCTACTGAAAACAGCAGGTACAACAAACCTGAGAGATCCTTCTGGTCAATGACCGACTGGTGCTGGTCGTTCTGATAAATCCTTCTTCACGTTGTCCTACTGAAGGCAGTAGGTAGACCCAACCTGAGAGATCCTTCTGGTCAATGACAGACTGGTGCTGGTCATTCTGATAAATCCTTTTTCACGTTGTCTAACTGAAGGCAGTAGGTAGACCCAACCTGAGAGATCCTTCTTGTCTTGACTAATCACTGACAGTTAGAACTCCCAACCTGACAGATATTTCTTAGAGGCTTCAAACTGATGCTGGTCTTGCTTACAGTTAGATCTAGTGCGAGTGAGGGACCAATGACAGTCAGTACTTCCATCCTGACAGATCTTTCTCATCAGTAACAAATTTACTCAAACAAAATTATACAAATGTATGTTATCAGCTGATGAGTTCGAGTGTTGCTTTCATTATTGTCTTGCTTCAATTAGGTTACAGCAGGTCACACAATGTTCAATTTAGTATATTATTGCCAACGGCCCAAACAAGTAATTCGTAAGTAATTGTTTGCATCCAAGCATTTTGATTTTTTGGGGTTATTCATGTTTAAGATTGATGAGTAATTGACTGTCACTATTTTAGAGCAGCTTTAACAGTTGATGTCCAGACTACGTGGTATAAATTGTCACATGTTGCTGGCTATTTGATGTTAGATCTCCCATAACACACAATTTGTCCTTTGATGCCAATTTATTGATTCTTTTTTTCCAGAAATGAAAGAAGAATTAGAAGACTTAATGTCAGAAATCAAAAAGAATGCTAACAAAGTGAGAGCCAAGTTAAAAGGTATGTTCATGCACTTTGACTTTGATCATCATGGTAAATATAGTCCTGGATAAAAGCTTAGCACCAGCAAGTCATTATTTTTATACAGACTGATCTTGATGTGTGTTTTGAAATGTCTACACACTGACGCCATTTTGATATTTGTCTTATGGGTGCCAGGAACTTGTGTATGTTGTAAAACTTGACTGAACCATTTTTAGTCCTACCAACTCGATAGAGGATATTAATTGTGTTTGTGGAGACAATTCATACCAAGCTCATACCAGTTAACCTCGCTGACTGCTTGCCCAGCCATCTCATACACAAATGGACACTCACCCCACCCCACCCCATTACCAGTTAACCCCTCACTGACTGCTTGCCCAGCCATCACATACACACATGGACACACAAGTACCCCGCACCCCACCCCATTACCAGTAAAGCTCACTGACTGCTTGCCCAGCCATCACATACACACATGGACACACCCCCCCACCCCACCCCATTACCAGTAAACATCACTGACTGCTTGCCCAGCCATCACATTACACATGGACACTCCCCACCTTCACCCCACCCCATTACCAGTAAGCTTCACATGCTTGCCCAGCCATCACATACACACACATGGACACACCCCACCCCACCCCACTCCATTACCAGTAAACCTCACTGACTGCTTGCCCAGCCATCACACACACATCCCACCCACCCCACCCCACCCCAGCCCATTACCCAACACTCAGTCAAACACATTAAACACCACCCCGCCAGCCATGGCCCATTACCCCACACCCACCCATACCCCATTGCCCACACTCAGCCATCACCAATTATCTACCCATACCCCATTACCAGTTTTCTAGCCCTCTCTGAACTGCCTTGTGTAAAGGGCTGTCTGCTGTGCTGTCATGCACCAACTGCACCTAAGTCTGATGTAAGTGGAGACTAAGCTGGCTTAGTGTGTACTTACTGGCCTTCACTGGAGCGTGAGGACTTTGTCATCCACCTTCTGATGCTTGCCTTCCAGCAACAGAAGCAGTCACTTAGAAACTAGCCTGAGAGTGACAGTGATCAGGCACACAGTGTGATTCACAAAGCTATTGTAGTGCTACGACTGCCGTGCCTCCTATACACTGTGCGAAATAGACACTGGCCCTCTAGCCTGTGGTCAGTTAAAATACAGTCGGGCCGGTAAATCTCGGTCACTGGCCCGACTGGCTAGTAAATTTTCATGGGGTCATTTTGTAAATATATCACTCTCTGCGATTTGTTAAGTTATAATCCACTTTTAAATCATGCAAGATTATTACCTGACAAAAATGTTCATCATATTAACAGCTTAATGATCAAACCCGAGTCATGCAGACAATATCTTATTCTCATCCATTTTTGTAATCCTTTGCTTAGTTTCTATTTTCAAGTTTCGGGATAGTAACTTTCGGGCATAGCTAGCCGGACTGGCTAGAAAAATTTGGAAACTATTTCGCACACTGCTTCTATATACTGTAACGTAGACTTGCTACAGTCGTAGTGCTACGATAGCTTTGTGAAATGGAGCCCTGACCAGTACTTCAAATCAACATCAACAAACACTCAAGATTTAAGACATTTACGCAACAGACTTCAAACCGATGGGTTCACGCTTTAGACTCATTTCAGGTGTCCCCCATTATAATATAGCTGGGTTATTAAAAGCGGCGTTAAACTAAACTTACTCACTCAAAACCATTATTGACCGTTGTATAAAGTGCTTCCGATGCTTAATCCATAATCCTTTTGCTCATTTGGTCAGTTATTCTTTTGTTTTACTAGTCCCATGATTGTATGGGATTTTTTTGTGTGGCTGGCTATCAAGATAGGTCATAAAGATCGATGATCGTTAAGTATATATTAATCGCTTACTGATAAAATTGGAGACGTGACTTTGAGCAAAAATGCCAAAAATGTCCGGAAAAAAAAGAATTAATTTCCCATCACTTGTGGGTGGTGACATGTTTTTGCATGGATTACAAACAAAACAACGTCCTGAACATAATCTAGAAGCAGACCATGAATAATGCCCTAACTTTGAATATTGTGTGAAAAAATCAAACCATTTTGCTATCACAAAAGTTAATGTAGGGTAATAACCCAATTTTCATATCGATAATCTTTAATGATTTTTCCTATCAACGATATTTCCGACTATCGGTCATTTAGCCAGCCTTATTTTTTGCTGACTTCTTCTGCAGTGCAGACTGATGTAGTTCTGCTGATGAATGCGTTTTGCTTGTAATTGTCGACGAAAAAGTTCATGTTGGCCTCTGTAGGCCTAAATCCTTCTCAAGGTTAGATATGACACATAAATATGTTTAATTAGATCCTGCCTTCTATTTCTGATCAATTCCAAGACAGAATCTATTCTATGGTTAATTGTGTAGGTGGACTGCTATTTCTGGCTGTCTAAATGCCTTTGATCATATTAAGATTGACAGCAGGTCTCTGATCATCATGGATGTCTGTGCTATATATAAATATACAGCAGCTATGGCAGACACATTCCAAGAGATTCAGTCCTCCAGATTCATTCTAGCAGAAGCAGTCCTGTGGCCCTGTAGATGCAGTCCAGAAGGCTGTCTAGTGTCTGCCTACTTCCAGGAGGTTCAAATCCTGCAGACAGTCTTGAAGTCTGAATGCTGCAGATGTAATCCTGCGGACACAGTCCTGAAGTCTGAATGCTGCAGATGTAATCCTGCGGACACAGTCCTGCGTTCCATCACACCAAATTTGTGATACGCAATTCAGCACATATTACTCAGCAGACACTATTCATCACACACGATTTAGCACATGCAGTTCAGAACATAGGACTCAACATATACTATTCAGCACATACCATTCAGCATTTACTATTCAGCACACACTATACTGCACACACGATTTACCACACAAGATTCAGCACACATTATTCAGCACACACTATTCAGCACACACTATTCAGCACACACGATTTACCACACAAGATTCAGCACATGCAGAGCAACTGTTTCAGTTCCGTCTAATTAGGCCGATTTGGTTCAGAAATGTTACCATCAACTAGTTAGGGATGCCTAACTTCTAGATAAGGTTTTGTGCAAGCTCCTACTACGGCCTGACATTGCTGTGGGATGCAGTTGACCGTCTGCTCCTGTAGTCAGCCATTGATCTTCCCTTCTCCCACCATGTTTGTCAATGAAATTTAGGGGTATTTTTAGCCGGAACAGTTTTTGCGTGTGTCATCAGAAACGCTAGAATGGCATCCAATGGAGGTGGTGGTGCCTTGCTCCCGCTTCTACTGCTGAAGTGTAACACAGATTGATAGGATCAATAGCGGCTACAGCAACTGGCTAAGATTATTTCCACACAAAATAAGAAATTAATTTGCCAGGTGTAATCAATACACATATGAATAACACTGCCAGGTGCATACTGGCGCAGTTATGTGGTACTGAATCGCGTGCAGTGATTGCCCAACTAGAGACTGGAAATGACTACGTCTGAGTCAAATCATAGGGGTGTCTTCGGCAAGATGCTGTGGAAGTCAGTCTTCACAGTTTTCCATGTTTTACACAATGGCTGTGTTGCTAGACGATCAATTATCATCACACAATATCTTGCAGTATTGATTTGTTATTATGATAGTGTTGTGGTTGAATGGAGAGGGGTCGTGTAAAGGCATGGTGGGTCTGTTGGAAGCAGTCACGCAGGATTTATTTTCAGGAGAAAAATACTGGTGAAGTTATTAAAGCAAATGTAGCTGTTTATAAAGCCTGTGAAACGGACAGGAAATTGATTAATTTAAGTGTTCATGTGTCGTGAAAGAGACATTGATTTCGGTATCATTTCGGTCAATTGTTTAAGAGGATGTTTATAAAAATAGAGACTGTTTGGAAGTAAGAAATGGTAAATGCATTTTTTACACAAAGGGAGATTTAATCCAATGAGAAGAACTTACATATCATGTGAATTCTTGATGTGTGGATATCTTATGGCTTAATGGTCATGAATGGCTTGATCAATTAATGACAAGGCAGACATTTTTGTAGTCAAGAGAAATACTCACTCCTTCATTCATTCACTCATTTCTGCTCTTACTTGCTCACTGTCACTAATTCCTCCACTCACTCGCTCACTCCATCCCTCACTCCTTTACTCACTTTCACTCCTTCCTTCACTCTCACCATCCATCACTCCTTCATTCCTTCACTCACTCACTCACTTCCTCACTCACCCACTCACAATATTTTCACAAGAAAACCTTAGTGTGTTATTTTGATGTTTCTGTTGCTGGTCCTAAAGGCGATCATATGCATTTGGTAGTGAGGCTAAAAGTGGCCGGAGATCCCAATGGCGTGACCAACTGACTGGTCCAGACAGGATAACTTACACATTATTTCAGGCCGTCGTTGTGTTGCAGGAATATTGTCGAGTTAAACGACGAACAGCCACAGAAAAACAATCACCCAATATGTCAAATATGGTAATTGTAATCTCTGCTGTGCCAGTGTTCAAACAGGGATGTAAGTAATGACGACAATTACGGTGTCTCACAATGGTTGTTAGATGACTCATGACATTATAAGGCTCGCTCGCCATTCAACAACCTTTTTCAGCGGTAGAGCTGTGTCATTCTTGCCATACTAGCAAAGCATTTGTTAGTCAGTAACTTGTACCCAGCTTGGATTGGCCTGCATGGTTGTAGGGGACAGCTGGCCATGAGGGGGTGGATGCCCTCGAGGCGGCTGTTCATCTTTTGGTTGTTGGATGGAAGGCACTGCTTTTAGATGCACAGGTTGTTTGTATCTGTAGCTGTAAGCAATGACCTTTTTGCTGTGACCTTTAGCTATGACCTTAAGCTGTGTCCAGAGTGGTGGTTATGGGCATGTGTAGTTGTGCTGTAGTCATGGTCTAATGTTGTTGTACAGAGTTGTGTCCCCTGGGTGTGCCAGATACACGTGATCTTGGGTTCGAATCCTGGTTCACAATGATTACGTTCT